CCTACCCAATGACCCAGCACTATTTTGTTTATTGTAATGAGGACTATAATGACATTCCTAAATTAATCTTTTTATCTTTAAATGGCATAATATATGTGCATGTTTATTGGGTATGGTATTATAATCCAATATGTTTATACAATAAATTCAGAGAAATTGTCATTTCTGTCTCTTTCAACATGTCATGTCCACATGTTGGAAATTTCAGGCTATTCTTAACTACTATATATTAAATAGTCTAAGTTACATGCTGTGCTAGAAAACACTAGAACATCCCCATCTATCTATGTTTCAATACCCATTATCTAACCACTCTCCACCTCTACTTATCCTTCTGCCTAGCCTCTGGTATCCATTATTCTATACCTTACTTTTAAGAAGAGCAATACTTTTTGTGAATGAGTTATGCAGAATCTTTCTTTCTGTACAACATGTTCATAAAAAGAAATTTGGCATGTTCTACTCATAGAAATGGCATTGTTGATATTCTTCCTTTAATGGAAAATTGACATATGGAAGTTTCTTCTGAACTGAAACATTCCTTCCAGGAGGGAGCAAGGAAAGCTCATGAGACTCTGGAGGGGAACAAACTTCTCCATGTCTGGGAAAACTGAACCTTGCTATATTCAGGTAGATTCCTCCACCACCCCAACCCTGCAGATACAGTCGCAATCAACACCTTCTGGGAAAGGAGACCCTCAGACCTCTGAAGCTGCCCACAGGTTGTACAGAGATATGTCAGGATGCTGTTTTGTGAGTCCTCACCTATGTTGGGCTTTTCAGAGACTATCATCATTTTGCATAATCCCTGCTCCTGAAACATCGCTGCTTCATATAACATCCAGTGCTCAAACGGGAACCTAACTGGATGCAAGATGGGTTGGGGTGGGGGAGTAATTTCATCCAGTTGATGCTGATTCATGAAAGGGGGTAGCATTCAAGGGGAAATCCAGATATAGCTACCTTTCTCCATATGGTTTGGGATACTATGCCTTCTCATTATGTTGTGTGGCTCCTACAATGGTGCTGAAACATGCAACTCAGGCTGAATCCTCTCTCCAGAGGGGTGTTCTGGGTAGAAAGTTCTTGGGAAAAAAATGGTGGTAGAGCTTTCTTCCTGAGTGTGGATAAAATGCATCCTGAGTGAGTACAGAGATGTCCTGAGAAAGGTTGAAGGTTTAGAGCACATTTTGTTGGATAGGTTATGGCAAGAGTATCTGCAAGCTGCTGCTGCAGTTTTCTGGCTTCTGAAATGTATAGTCAGATATGATTTTGAGATGGAGAGGACTACACGGGGGAGTTTGTGTAAAGGTGATGCAGCTCTCACTAGAAAAGGATCCTGAGCAGCTAGGTGGGAAACTTGGAAAAAAGAGAGTATGGGGTAGAAATGTCACTTTGATGTTTCTCAGAGCTAGCAGGATACAAGAAAAAAGTAGGTGCAAGTTAGATCTGTCTGTGCCAAAGAGCCAAAAACTGTGAATCCCTGGAAAGGGACAGATATTAAAGAAGGAGAAAATTAGGCAGAAGTGATGTCTAGTTCACCAGACAAGACAAAACTGTATTCACCAGAGAGTTAAAGAAATGGATTCAGTAGAGACCCTGAATATGAGATGGAGCGTTAGTGATTTTGGTAGGAAATAATCTTTGTGAAGTGGAAGAGTTTGCTAGATCTGAAAGGAATAGAGTTGAAGTTACCTGAAAACAAATGTGGCAACTTTTGCATTTTTCTGGAGTCCCTAGAGAAGAAACTAACAGAAAATAAATGCTGTGTTTGTGAATTTTTGCTAGGATTTAGTTCACTAAAAAATTTCTTAAATAAGTAAAAGACCAGGGTGTACAGGTGATTTCCAGTGTAACTTTGCTATGGAGGAAGGAGCTGTTCTCTCTGAGTGGCCAAGGTCACCTACAAGTAAGGATGAGCAGAGGTCTCACGTTGAGTTACCAATTGAATGCCCAAATACAAATTATTTGGGCTTATGGAGGGGCCAAATGTTAACACCAGGGACAATGGGCTCCAGTGGATGGATGTGGGATAAAATAGTACAGTCAAAAAGACCCAAGCTTGTTCTAAGTGTGGACAATAATCCCCTCAGAGTTAACAGTATACACTTATCTGCTAAGAAAAGCAGGAAGGAAGGAAGGAAGGAAGGAAGGAAGGAAGGAAGGAAGGAAGGAAGGAAGGAAGGAAGGGAGGGAGGGAAAAGAAAGAAACAAAAACGAAGAAAGAGAGAAAGAAAGAAAGAAAAAGAGGAAGAAAGAAAGGAAGAAAGGAGAAACATCAGTATTGGAGAAGTGGCTCTGCAGTTAAGAGCACCATTTTTCCTCCACAAAACCCAGGTTTTAACTCCTAGTCCCTACATGGTGGTTCACAATAGGTTCTGAGGATATGATTCCTCCTCCTCCTCTTTCCAGTGTTTGTGGGCACTAGGCATGCACATGTTGGATATACTCTATACATTCAAGTAAAACAATCTTACATAAAAATAAATAAAAGTGCATGTGTGTGTGTGTGTGTGTGTGTGTGTGTGTGTGTGCGTTGTGTGTGTGCTGAGGACAGAAGTTGGTCCTTTAGACTAGAGCTCACACAGGAGCCAGGCCTGAGGAAGAGACAGACAGATGAGAATATATACAGTTGTTTAGGCCAAGAGCCTGCCAGACACAATGGCATGTAATCAGGCAGGTGGGCTCAGCACAGCACAGCACACAGACAGACAAAGCTATTTTCCCTATGCTCTGTGCTAAACCAAACAGCTTACAGCAGCTCTACCAAGCCCATGGCACTGAGGAACTGTGCAGAGGCCCCATGAGAGCAGCCCAGCATAAGGAAGCCAAGCAACTCATAGAACTGATGGAATCTTTTCCTACATTAGATTTTGATAGTTAATTTTTAAGCATTCTCTTAGCAGATGGATCATAAGATCAATATGCATTACTTGAAATGATGAAGAATGAACCTTCAAGGAACTCTCAAAATCTGACCTTCATGCTCCCATGAAGGAGGAGACAGGGGAGGTAGCTGCAGCAGGGATACAAAGTGAATAAATTGTAATAAATAAAATTTTTTAAAAATCCCAGTGCCAGAGGTGTGTTGCTTTGTTACAGGTTGCTGACCAAGTAGACTCCTGAGGGCCCACAAATCATAAAGACTATTGCTTTCACTGTCAGCTGTGTGCCAGAACTAGATAGTAAGGCCCTGTGGCCGAAAACACTTTGGTTGCAGGACGTGGAGAAATGAAGCTGAGACTGGAAGAGAAGCTCCCTTCTTCCCAGCTTACAGTGCCACAAGGTGCTGTGCAGGCTGGAAGAGCATTGTGACCAACGCTACTGCTTGGCTGTGAGATCTACATGCTCCAATGCAAAAAACAAGCAAACAAATAAAAAACAGCCAGCATGTGTTTACTGACGCCACAAAGGTGCAACTCTCATGGGAACGATAAACAGTTTGGGCGCTCACATCTGGTACTGCCTGAAGAGGTCATATCCCCCGATGGGAAAGGAACTGCTACTGTTTTGTTAAGAGGATGTGATATCCCCATCAAACTGTCATCTAACTGCTTGTGCTTTTGCCCATTGATCACTGTTGCTGTCAGTGGAAATCTACCATGGGAAAAAAATCTTCCTTTTACAATACATTGTGTACCCCAGAGACTCCTAACCACTAGGAAAACTCCCAAGTGACTGTGGTTGTGGCATAGTGGCCCATGCTTGGTCACAGATGGAGTGTTATGTGGCTGAATGTTGGATTCCTCAGAATTGAAATATTGCCTAACGGAGAAAGGCCCATGGGATTCTAGAGGTAAACAAGCACCTACATGTCTGGGAATGCTGAAACTTGTGCGATTCATGTGGACCCCTCCTTAAGGGAAGAGAAGGGAGCAGCTGCTGGAGAGAAGAGTATGACCAGGTGGGATGCCTAGAGGACATTCTCAGCTCTGCCCAGCTGCCTGCAAGCTGTGAGCTCCAGGCATGCAGCCTTTGTAACTGGTCACCTGCATTGGGATGGGCTTTTCAGTGCTGCAGCTGCCTCAGAGCCATCCCTGTTGCTGTAAGCAGCCCCAGCAACATCTCATTAGTTCTCAAAGTTGGAACTTCGTGCAGTCATTTCTTTGGCCTGCCATGGGTTCCCTCATTAGGGTGAGTAGACTTCCATGGCTTGTATCTCTCCAGGGAAAGCCTCTCACTGCAATAGAAACCTAGATAGGGAGAAGGATTTCAGCTACTGGGGTACCTTAGACCACTTGGTAGTGATTTCCATAGTTCAGATCAAGGCAGAGCAAGTATTTGAACTAGTTTTATATGCTAAAATCAAAAGGCACTTTCTCTTGCTGCTAATAAGCCAGACTGGGAGTAGAAGCTACAAATCATTTTGTTCAAACACTGAACTCTCCCTTTCTTCGCAGCTTCTCTCCTGCTTGCAGCTGACTCCTCCTTCCTGCAGCTCCCAGGATCACAAGCTGATAAAAGAACACAAAGGTTTGATGGGAGCCTATGTTCAGGCTTCTTATTACTGGTTCTGCCTCAATCTCTCTCTCTCTCTCTCTCTCTCTCTCTCTCTCTCTCTGAAACCTACCTGACAACCTCTGTCTTTGAATCCAGTTCTGGAAACAGATGCATCATTTTATTGTTTTCCCAAGTGATTGAATCAAGCTAGAGATGCTCCTTAGGAAGGACCCCCAGCAACCAGGCATGGACACTTTGCAATCTGCCTGAGGAGTTCCTGCTTTCTTGTCTGAATTTGGTGGTGGAAGGAAGTTTTTGGCTGATTTCTTTACTTAAAATGTTGAAAAGTTTCTTACTGATGCCTGAAATGGATCCTAGCTTTAAAATATGGGTTGAGTCAGATCTTTCTAACCGAGACATGTCTGATCATTTTCCTGCTGGACCAACACACGGAACATCTAGAGAAACTTGGCAGGAGAAATGACATCTGATTTACAACTCTCATGCTCTGAGAAAAATCATCAGACTCGTTGAAGAGGGAAATTAAAACACTGAGGAAAATGTCTTTCTTTTTCAGCAACTTAACAAATGACTCTAACCTGTGGAAAGTAAGTCATAATTCTACGGACCTTGTGAGCTCGCCAGCCACTCTGACTCTTTCTCTTTTTTGCCTCATCTGTTTAATGACTATCGCAGCTCTGGTGGGCAGCATTTTCTCACTGGCTTCCCTGCTGCCCATGCAAAACAGGACTGTTGTGTCCATGCTTGTGGCTTCCTGGTCTGTGGATGATCTCTTAAGTGTCTTGTCAGTGGCCATCTTTCTGGTTTTGCAGTGGCCAAAAGAGGCCCCGGGTTACTCCCAGTCTCTGTGCACCACCTCTGCCTTACTGTATTTGTGCCAGGGCCTCTCCAGCAACTTGAAGGCGACACTTATAGTCGTCTACAACTTTTATACGATGCACAGGACGGTGTCGAGTCGGTCAACTTCCTGGCGATCCGGACAGGTGCTTGGTGTGGCTTTAACGGTGTGGGCAGTCAGCCTGCTGCTGGCCTCGCTCCCGCTGTGCGGCTGGGGCTTCTTCGAGCGCACGCCCTGGGGATGCCTGACGGACTGCTCCAGCCCCTACGTGCTGCTCCTCTTCGCCGTGTACGCTTCCGCCTTCGGGCTCCTGGCGGTTCTCTCAGTCCCTCTTACTCAACAGCTGCTGTGCTCGGAGGAGCCGCGGAGACTCCACGCCAGCTACCAGGCAATTTCCCGCGGCACCTCCACTCCTGGGACCCCGGCTGCTGGGGGAAGAGTGCTCTGCTTGTCGCCAGAGGACGTTACGATCCCTGCTCTGCGATGCTCTGGGGGGTGCTCCCCCAGCTCCGACGCAGGGTTTGCCCCGGGTCAGCCCGCTGCGCCCCGCGCTGGAGCCTGCAGGGGAGAGAATCCCGGAACTCCCCATGGCTCCAGGAGCTTCCCTGTGAGCCTGGCACAGAAGCGGTTCGCTTTGATCCTAGCTCTGACGAAAGTCATTCTTTGGCTGCCCATGATGGTGAGTGCATTTATCACCCGCGGGGTGTGTGTGCTGAGCCCAGACGCGGGTTTGGGGAGTTACCCAAGGAAGCCAGTGTAAGTCCGCTTCGCTTCCAGACGCATCTGTGGGCGCTGAAGACACCAAGCCTGGAGGAAGGCAATTCACCTGGGGACTGGTTAGCCACCAAACCTTAGCTGTTAAGTATTTTTCAGTCTAAGAAGGGCGGAGAGTCTTTTCTGTCACAGAAGACTTGGTTTTCCTAGACCACGGTCAAAGATGTTCTCTCTTAAGGCAAAATCTGGACATATTCGGAGAGGAAAGGAGGAAGTAAAAGGTTTTGTTGTTGTTGTTGTTTTGTTTTGTTTTCTTTGAACCTTATCTGGCCCCGTTTTATTCCTTGTTTCCTCTTGCCTGGTAGGGACAACGCCCATCTCTAGTACCCAGAGACAGAGTGGTGTGATACAATGTAGGGGGAAAGAGGAAGAGAGAGCAGAAATTAGCTGTTGTTCCGATGTCCAGGAGTGAGCTGAACGAGATGGCAGTGGCTCACGCTGTGACCAGCGCGCCAGGGTGGAGACCTGGAAACCAGAAGTAACAAGCCATCTGGAGTTTCCAGTATCCGTCCCACCGGTCCCTGCCCTCTTCGTGTAGCATCTCTAAGTTATAGACTGCCTGCCTCTTTAGTAGAGATTTCAAGCTGCAGCGAGTGCAGATCTAGCGTTCAGAAAGGAAACACCTAAACCCTGTCTGCTCTGGTGCCCTGAGGTGTGTCCCATCCATTCCCAGAATCCTGTCACCAAAAGCCCCGGGAGGAAGCCCAGAAACAGAGCTCCTATTGACCTAGACAGGAGGCTTGGATAGAGAGCTTCAGACGAGTGAGGGCTGTGAGAAAGGCTTGGAAAGTGGGAAACAGGATTCTGGCTTAAGTCTGAAGTTCTTTGCCTTTCAGATACACATGGTGGTAAAACACGTGGTGGGGTTTCAGAGCCTTCCGGTCGACATGCTCAGCTTTCTACTAACCCTGCTGGCCAGCATTGTAACCCCAGTGTTTGTCTTGTCCAAACGCTGGACCCATTTGCCCTGTGGCTGCATCATCAACTGCCAGCCGGACACCTGCTCCCCTGCATCCGATGGGAAAAAGCGTAAGTCCTCCACAGTGGCTCCAGAGTAGAAGCCTTGTGCCTGCACTCAAATAGAGGAAAGTGGCCTATTGAGAAAGTTACTGAGGGGGAAAGGGGAAGATTCTAGGACATGCAAATGGTAAATAAGAAGAATGATAAAATTTTAACTTAGTGATGGTGTAGGTTTTAAACAAGGTCGAGAAGTATTTATTCATTGGCGACTTTTTTTAGATAACAAAAGGGACCATTCAACTCAACCTTTTAATGTCAGCACGGACCCTTATATGTTACTTCCTTCCTCACTTTTAGCCCAAAGTGGAGGAAAATCAATCCCTCCTCCGAAGTCTACGCTTGAAGGGCAGCATTGCTGAGCAGCCTGCTTTTGAAAAAAGACAAATTCTAAAAAAAGAGCTTAAAACTCTTGAGCTATAACTCCTTCTTACTCAGTAGAACAGTAAGAAAAGTACTTTCATTATTTTGATACTTAATCTCTCCTAAGATACTGGAAAGGTTTTGTAGTGTGTAACCCCCTTGCCTGAAAATGACCCCCAATAAATGTTAGGGTACCCCTCTGCTGTTAGAAACAGCTTACATCCCTAACACCACCCAATAAACAAGAATCCCCGAGCTAAGAAGGGTTGGGGACCCTGGTTGTCTTTGTTTTTGTACCTGAGTTTAACCCATGCCATTCACTTAAAAAAAAAAAAAAAAAAAAAAGTTGTTTATGTTGCTAAAAGGAGAAGGAAGAGAAGTTGTTGCTGTATTAGAAGATTGCAGGATTAGATCCACCTGGCCATATCAGCTGATTAAAAGAAACAATATGATGCCTACTTCCCTCAAAGAAAAGTTTACCTGGGTGAAAAACAGGACAAGATTAGAAGTAGCTGTGATCTCCTAAAAAGGAAAGGACGTTTCCGTCATTCTAGAAGATATGCTCTATATGCTCTAGACTGAATAAATCAGTTGATCCGTTAGTGTGTGATCAATTAACTCTTCTGTAGATTGTCCTTTCTCACAGAATGAGCAAGAAATTTTTATATATAAAATTTTATGTAGAGAAAAAGATTAAATAAAAACAGTTCATTTCATACCATTTTAGGATTGTAAAAATTAGAGAATATCAAAGCATTTTCTGCAATCAATATATAACACGGTTACTGTAACAAGGTTATTTTTTATAAATATTAATTACTGGCCATTTTCATGTATTGATTATATTTAAGTTGTAGAATATTTAGATATTTTCCAAATGACAAAAAAAAAATTCTGTTGTTAAAAAGATCATTGTTTTATTGATAACAGATGACAAATACCTTGTGTCTTTAAAATACCTGGATAGCATAATAATAATGTTTCTTAGAGATTAATAACTAGACCATAACAATAGAGACAACTGATAATAAAGTATATACACAATTTGTAAAGTTATATAACAGGAAGAAATTATTTACAAGTCGATTCCAATAGTCTGACAAATGTTGCCACTGTGCTATTTCATTAGTGCCGTGATTCTGTCACCCAAAATTTAGAATCCTGAGGGAGGTAAGCTCATGCCAGCAGAAACGAAGACTCAGTGAAGTGGGTTAGGCAAACATATTTTAGAACTGGGAAGCACCCATATCAGAACTAACTAATGCCAATGCAATTACCAGGCACTCACTCAAATCACTAAGAATCCATTGCAACAGCCACACTACACATGCTGGGGAGCCTCCAGGCAGTCCAGCAGAACACCACCCTGGCTACGGAGACAAACTTTTCAAAACCGAAGCAATCACTTTCCCCTGAAATCACCACTGCTTTTGTTAGCATTTATTTTAAAAAAGAAGTTCGCTTTGAAGGTGTAAATGGTTTTTGTTCCTTCTTTTCATGTGTGTGGTGTGCATGTGTGTGTGTATCCATGTTCACATGTGTTTGCAAGAGCATGTGCACATGTCTGTGCTTGTGAAAGTCCAAGGTTGATGTCTGCAACAGCCTATGATTTCTCTTGACTTATTTTTTTAGGCAAACTGAGACTACAGCTAGTGCTGGTCAGATTGTTCCCCTGTCTCTGCAGCCAGATAACACCACATATGTTATCACCCTGCACCTGTGCTTCATGTGCTTCCTGGGGTTTTGAACTCTGGTTCTCTTGTTGTGTGGCAACCATTAAGCTCCCCTCAGTCCCTGGAGGTTTTTTGTTTTGTGTTGTGTTTTTTTTTTAAAGAAAAACATAGCATTAAAAACAAAATATTAGCCAAGGGTGATGATGCATGCCTATGATCCCAGTACTCAGGGAGTCAGAAGCAGGGGGATCTCAGTAAGTTCAAGACCAGCCTGGTCTACAAATTGAGACCAGGACAGCCAAGGCTATACAGAGAAATCTTCTCTGAAAAACAAACAAACAAAAAACAAACGAACAAAATACAAAACAAAAAAATGTTGCTAGAGAAATACTAACTTAGACACTTACAGGTCAAATAGCTCCATTCCCTTTTATAATTCAGACTATGCCAAAGGGAATACAGTGAAAATGTGTGCCATGCCAGGAAGTGCCATGACTGTGGCACTGGGAGTTCTATACCTCTCAAGGTGGCTTATCCTCAAGTTGACCAGGAGTTGGCCAGATATATGAACTCATTAGGAGTTGCAAGTAAAAATTTCTTCTATTTACATTCTTTATCATTGAACTTCAGAACCAAAGAAGGGAAATGGTTCATGTATTAACCCATCCATCCATTAGTATATTTCTCTACCAAGCATGATCAACAGGGAAGCAATTTCATATAGAGGATAATCATTAGAATTCTTGAATCAGTTAATTTTAAAGTTAAATCATTTTGTAAAATAAATAACCAAAGCTGGCTTTCCTTATTGATCTCAGGTTTCTCTACAGAAAAGAATGAGCAATACTATTATGTAGGTCTATCATGAAACAACATGGTTGAATTACCACCTCAGAATGATTATGGCAACCTTAGTCTCTTTCTTTAAATGTATATCATCATCATCAATTATTGTGTGTGGTATTGATGTGTACATGATTGTGGATGTATGAGTATGGAAGTAAGAGAATAACTTTTGGGAGATGGATCTCTCCTACTCTGGGAGCAAGACTTCACCTCAAGTAAATGACTTAAATGGCAAACACCTTTACCTACTGAGCAGCTCACTGGTCCCTGGTTTTCTTCTCGCCTCAGACTTCTTGGTATGCTCCTGCACTGGAAGCACTCTCTCCCAAAGCACATTCTGCTTACTCCTGTAAAGATGTCACACATTTTCTACTCTCTGAATCTCAAAGTCACAATATACAGCTGACACTATACATCCAAGTATTGATCATAAAATAGTTGTTTTATAAGCACCCTTATTTTCTGCGCGGTTCTAGCTAACAAATTTGCCCCTTCCAATCTATGCTGGAGAAATGGAACCCATCAATAATTGTGTCATCCTTGTAGTAATTCAGCTCTCAGTCTTGAAGTACCTTAAAAGTTGTAATTTAATTTTATTGGACTATGTTCCTGGATAACTAAGCAGAACTGCAAATGTTACAGTATAGAGAACACGATCATCTGCTTCTACTTTTCAATTTTCTTTTGCTAACAATTTCTTCTTACTTCTGTTCTGGCTCACACAAATAATGAATGATACTGATAAATTCTATTTTTCAGAACGCACAACTGAGCTGTAAATCTTTGATTCTGGGAACATTTCAGTAATAGAATGAGCATGTGAATGCCACTAGAGTGCGTTGCAAAGTGAATCAAATTTTATGTTTTATTCCCATAAAAACTTTATAGCTTTTCATAATTTTTCCACCAAAGATAGCGAAATGCCTAACTGTAAAACATTCAGCTATCAAAGTAGAAAGTTTTCTTGAAAGAAAACATGTTTTAAATGATGAAAAAAAACACATCAAATTGCATTTTGCCTACCACTTAGATATAAGTTGATTTATAATTGGCTGATGTTCACACTCAGAAATTGTATCACTTTCTGCCACACTCTTTTCTAAGATTTTCGGTTGTACCCACCAATTAAGGGTGTTACATTTGGAATACTCGCTCCTCTGTCTATTTAAATAGTAAATTCTACTAATTCTTACTAAATATATCTTGTGTTTATTCAGCTGTATGAGTACTCTAAAAATGCTTCCATTCACAGAATGCACCTACTTTTTAAAACAAATATATTGTGAGTTTATTTATATGAGAAATGTACTTGTTGCCAGAGGCTGTGACTCACACACATAGCCCCAGAATTAAGACTGAATGGTGGAGAGTTCAAGGCCAGACTGTACTAACTGGAAAGTTCAACACCAGTCTCATCTCCATAGTGACACATTGGAGAAAGAAAAATTATGCTTTTGAAGTTAAAAACTACATTGCAGAATATGGGCCATTTTTTTAATGTATGCTTTTACAGACATAATGTCAAAAGTATTATAGACAAAAAACTCTTGAAGTGATTACTCTTTTACAGACATAATGTCAAAAGTATTATAGCCAAAAAAACTCTTGAAGCGATTACTTATGCATAAGAGCTCATAATATGAAGGCTGTGTAGTAATCAGTTTTTAGAACAGGAGACAACATAGTGCTTTACAAAGTAAAAAAATATAGACATAAAATCAGTGAACCGAAAAATAAAAGGCACAAAAAACCTGAATATATCTGAGTTTCCTAATTTATAGTCAAGTTTTAGTCATATGAAATTGCCGAAGTCCCCATCAGGTGAGAGAAATCAGGTGAGAATAATAAAATAATAGATTCTTGTAAGAAATGTGGCTTTGAATACATTACAAGTAACTGAAGATTTTTTAACTCAGAGTAATCAGGAAAATGCAGTGCCTGTTCATGCTCACTATTTCCATCCAATGCTGTTTATATCTACCGTACTAACTGGAGAATTTTGTTGTTTTCATTCAGTGAAGAGGAAAGGCTTTGAATTCAATCTATCATTCCAACAAAGTTATGGAATCTATAAAATAGCGCATGCAAATTACTATGAGGAGGAGGAGGAGGATGAAAATTCCATATCCCGTCACAACCCAAAGAACTATGAGTGTGAAGCTACAAAGGAGCCGCCGGAAGACATCCACAAGGTCTTCAATGCCATCACCGTAGAAATCAGCACCACGCCACCGCTGGACAGCACCACGCTGCCGGCCATCAACAAGTGCACCAATACTGACACCCCAGAGCCCAGACAGGATGTGCAGGAGGACAAGGGTGGCTTTTCTGTTAATGCAGAAAGCGATATTCACCGTGGCGAAATCACCTCTTCTGAAGGTCCAGAAAGACGACTGTCCCATGAGGAGAGTCAGAAGCCAGATCTTTCAGACTGGGAGTGGTGCCGAAGTAAGTCAGAACGGACGCCCCGCCAGGTATGGTAAAGGCTCTTCTTCCCGAGAAATTAAAAGTAAAACTAAACACGAAACGTGTGAGAAGATGATGAGCTTATTGTTTCATTTAATCAGCCCACGGGTGATTTTGCCTGTCTCCCTTGATTTCCACAGTATCTCACTTTTACTCCACGGCCTTTGGAACGATGTTTCCAATGTGTATTTATCTTAGTTTTACATCTTCAGTCAAAATGTATATATTTTTGAGTCAGTAGATGTAGATATATTTTTTAAGAACTATAAGACATTTTATTTTAACTTCAAGTAATCTGATTAAATTTAGACTGTATCCAGAGTTCAAGCTCCTGTGGTAGTTGGTCAAATAAGTTAACATGTGTATTTTTACATTTTTCACACACATACACACACTTTATTTCAGGATGCATTCTACTGAGTGGTGCCAAATGTCCCATTTCTTTAAAAAAGATAAATGGTTTGATGATTATTTAAAAACTAAAAGGATTTGCACGTGAATATTTTTCCACTATCTTCTGATTCCAGGCTCGTATGAGTGATCAGGAGTCCATTCATTTTTCAGCCTGAAGTTGATATGAGCCTGTTCTTTCTAAATCTCATACTTTATCACAGTACCCTTTAGCTATCAAGTTACTAGGGAAAAAGAGATGTGATAGAAATCCTATTCCTTGTTTTAACCTCTGGGATCAAAAGCTGAACTCCAGAAATGTTCCGCTAGGATTAATGCATTCATTAATTAACTGTATCACAACATACCACAAGGATGAATGTGTATTTTTAAGTATGAAATATACTTTCCTATTATTTATTCTCATATCATTGCTTTAAAAAAGTAGGAGAATTCTTATATCACTTTAAAAGCCAGTAGAATATTTTTTTAAAGTGTATAAAACATTGGAGGAAATAGGCACATTTTTTTAGAAGTTAGAAACCTCAGAAAAAGTTAAATATTTGCCACAAATTTAATAATGCAGACAAAAGTAGAGGTCAAAGGACAAATGGTCCATATTTTTAGAACAGTAAGACTCTTCATCCATCAGGGCACTTCTCATATTTTTCATCATCAGTTTGTGTTTAGACCATAATGAACCTTTTGGCTTTCTTAGACTTAAATTCAGTGATTCTCATGATGAAGTGTGCAAGTCTGTGTGCATGTCTATGTGTGTGCATGCATGGCATGTGTGTGTGTGTGTAAAGTAGTGTCCAGAACATACCTCATGTGTCCCTCTCTTACTTCTACCCTTCAGCATGACCGTTAAAGACTGCATCTATGTGTTATTTAGTTTTTATTGTCAAACTGACACAACCCAGAGTCGCTTGCAAAGAAGGGAACCTGAACTGAAAACTACCCAAGATTACACTGACCTGTGGCAGTGTCTGTACAATCCTTTTCTTGATGGGCAGCATCACCCATAGGTAGACGGTCCGAGCTTATGTAAGCAAGCTAGCTAAACAGGAGCCAAAGAACAAGGATGTAAGCAGAATTCCTCCATTGTTTTTGCTTCAATTCCTGCTTGAGTTCCTACCCCTTCTTGTGATGATTGTTACCTGGAAATGTAAACCAGATAAATTTTTTTCATTCCAGGCTTCAGCCTTGGTTGTTATCACAACAGAAAAGCATGATAGAACAGTCTGTCATGGGTCTTACTCATTCTTTTTTTTTTTTTTTTTTGTCTTATTTTATCACAAATGGTTCTTCCCAATACAATATTTTTTTTGTAATTTTAAGCTTTCTCAAAACAGTATAACATGGAATATAATTTTCTGAGACTTATTTTTTCAGTGAAAATTAAGTGATTTGCTTTTTCTAAATTACATGCTGTAAGAATATTAAGAATGTTAAGGTTGCTCAGACCTGTAATCCCAGCACTCAAGGAGGCAGAGGCAGGTGGATCTCTGTGAGTTCAAGGCCAGCCTGGTCTACAAAGTGAGTCTAACAAAATCAAGGCTACACGGAGAAACCCTCTCAAAAAAAATCACAAATATCATAAATTACAACCATCATTTATAAGTTTTTGTTATAGGAAGTACAAGTGTCTAACTATACCTAGAAAAAAAAATGAAAGGTTGAACCTATTTGCACATAAGCATGTTTCTGCTCACATCTCTCTTTTAAAAAAAAAGTAAACTTACATGTGAAAATAGAAAACTTTGATAAATCTAACTCTCCTCCAGTTGTAAAGATTTGCCGATTGGATATTAACATTTTGACATCTGTGATAAGCAAATATTCTAGGAAATTTATACAAAATGATGACAGTTTATGTGTTTATATCTAAGGATTAGGTATCAGTTGAAATATAAATGTCGATATTCAATATTAGCTGGTATTAAATAGTGTTAGTTGTTGGAACTTTAAGAAGAACAGATTGGATTTTAAATATATTTCATTTTCTTCAGCTTTCCCTTATGATGTGTTTAATTTAATCAAATTTAAATTCTTAATCTCACTGTGTTTATGCTAGTAAATATATTTTCAATATATTTTGTTAGAATTTAAAAGCATAGTAGTTAGAATAAATTTACCATTTTTAAATATGATTAATATAAACCATGAGTTTAGGGTATCTGTAAGACTGAATTTTATGTTAAATCTGAGTGAGAAAATGTTTCTTTTTGGTTTTTTCCTATGTAAATCCTATGCGAGATACTATTAGTGTGTTTGGAGGTAATCACTCAGTTACAAAGATATGATAGTCTTGACATGAGTTTGTTTCTGGACAAAATTATAGCTTGTCCAAACCTAAAATTTCATCAGTTATGAATTATGGAAATTGAAGGTGAAATCATTTAGCAGCTTGTGTGTCATCCCCCTAAATAATAAGCTGATAAAATTGCCCATGATTCCACTTTTCTTTTGTTTTCTCTTTTTTTAAACTTCATTAATTTGTTCTTATAAATCAGAAATAATGTCCTATAGATATGCCGCTTTCACCACAGCATCTGAAAGTGTTTTCTTATGCCGGGAAAACATAGAACGTGTGTTCTGAAACAGTCAAAGGGTGCACAAAAAAGGAAAGCGTGCTTGTGCTTGAGTTTACCATGTAGCCTAAGGGCGAGAAAATCTGGTAAGACCTTATTTTAAAGTCCCTTGAGAATCAGACAAAATCTATTTTTATTTTGAGGAAGGTTGTAGTTTTCAAAGAAAGCAAAGTATGTTTTGTCATTTAATCCCAGAATTCGGTATTGGCGTGTGTTCCTGGAATATTTCAGTTTTGTTGCTTCACTGAGTAATATCCTTAGATTGTAGAGAAGATAAGTTTAAGGGTTTTGGAGAGCAGAGCGTCCAGGCACAAGTGAGATACTCCTAAGAGAGAAATTGGCATTGAGTAGGTTTAAAATGGGGCACAAGATATTGAAATGCTAGTGGACTTTCGGGTGGTTCATGAGCAAATCAAGACTGCAGTTCTGCCATACAAAAATCAAACTCCCAAATTACTTAAATGTGCAACAAGTAAAAGGAGAAGGAATTGTCTCCAGATCTGCCAGGGCAGCACAGCGACCGCCTATAAAAAATACAAGGTAAAATAAATGAACGCACATAATATTTGAAAAACAAGAAAATGTAGGCAGCACTTCTTGGGTTCTAATTCCTAAAGAATGGATCTAAGCTTATAGATCAGGCCAAAATCGATCCTTCCATTTAATGGGTAACCTCTTACGTAAGACTACACACACATTTTCCAGTCCCAAAAAAGTACAACTGTTCACCTTTTAAAATAAACCAGTAAAAAGCTTGATGTCGGTGTTTGCTGGGACACTGTCAATGTAATAATTCTAGAGGCCGAAATCCATCCAAAGTAACTGTTAACATTTCTAATTAAAATGACCATGGTTGAAGAGAAAAATCCACTCATCGCCTCTAATTGTTGCCTCTGCTGAGTCATATCAGAATAGATGGCCGCCTGGCGCTTGGATATTTTATTTTTAACTATTTTTATTCATCTGAAGTGGTGAGTTCATCACTCAGAGGTCAGAGACCTGAAAATTTATTACATTAATAAACATATGGCCTTTCTTCTTTATTATTAGAAAATAATATGGAATTATTGCAGATGACTTAGAAAATAAGATAATAAGAAAAACAGACATGCTCACTCCAACCATCCGGACTTAATGCACGGGTTGTATTTTGTTCTGTGGACATTGGACTCTGGCTGTTAACAAACATGCCACATATTCTATTGTGGAATCTGCTTCGTTCCATTCACCAGAGTAATTTTTACCTCAAAACTGACCACATTTTGTGCCATCATCTGGCATGCTGTAGAAGCATTATTTAGAACATAGCTGAAAGTCATAAATAAGTACAAACTTGTACAAAGACAGTTTTATTCTGAATACATATATTTCATAAAACATTTCATGATTTTTCCATACACTCTTTGCTGCAGTATGCTAATTCCTTCTTTTTTACAAGTTCGGGGCGGGGGTTTATCTTCGTCAAACCTCGTGTAGGATCCACTTAATTCACCTTTTAAGCAAAAATTCTCTCAATTTTCTCTGAAGGGCCAATGGCTTAAGGAAACATTAATGGTTATGTGCAGACAACAGCCAGTCAGGGCTTAACTCCAACCTCTTTCTCTGTTAAGTGGCTGCCCCTTCCTTGACCTCAAATGACCAGAAACTCCCAATACACTTTTAAAAACTTTATTATGAACTAATTTTGAACTTTTGAAACATCTATAAAAATAGAGCAAAGAGCTTCACTATATTCTCCAACCAGCTTCCACTATTGTTAACGCACTGAAAAATTAGCAATGCCCGTACCAAAAGTCGGCAGCCAAGCTCATGAGAATTTTGCCAGTTGTGCTTTGACTGGATCTTTCTGAGCCAGAATCTGACCCAGGATCTCATACTGCATTTTTGTCAATGTCTCCTGTAGTCCCCCGAGTCTTTCATGATTTGAAATTTTTATTAAAAAATTACACAGCTCATTTTCTTTTGCCTTTTATAATACACTCTAGTTTTTAATTGCTGGTGTTTTCAATTGTTTAAGTCAAGGT